AAGGAGTCTGCCACATTCATCTAGAACCTTCTAGAGGCTCCTTGCGCCTCTCTGGGGGATGACCCCTCCTGGCTTCTCCCAGTTGCTCTAGAAATTCATCAGCAAGTCTGTTCCCCAGTTCCAGGAAACCGCTGCTATCCCCAGAACACCCTGTGTCTTCCTTCATGACCCCTTGAATGGAAGGGCAGGGTTCCAGCCTGGCCTGGTCTCCTGCAAAGAGCAGACAGCAGACTGGGATTGGACACCCACTGCGGGCGGGGCGGGTACTCAGCGACTCATTTATTCTCCCAGCAGCTGGCCCTCAGCTGTGTTTTCCTCTTCCACAGATGAGGAACCTGAGGTTTAGAAAGAGGCACTAGCTAGCTCTGCTGATTCGTAGCAGAACAGCACTGAAATCCGATCCCAGAGCCCACTTCTCCCTGGACTGTGGCACCCTGGCTCTTCCTGCTGGGAGCGGGGATGGGCTTGGGACCCTCATTCCCACGTTTGTCCTCTAGGCTTCAGAGAGTGCCCCCCCCCACCCAGTGCAGGGATGTAGGCTCCAAGTTTGCGTCTGTCGGAGCCTACAGACTGCTCCAGAATGGCCAGGAAGTCCTTCCGGGTCCCCTCGCAGGGCCCCCCAGGAAAGGAGAAGGGCAAGGCCGTTTTGATCTTCACAATGAAACTTTGTCATTGCCCTCGTCATCCTGGCTTCTAGAAGCCAGGGCTCTGCCCTCCGTGGGCATCAGAGCATCCTCTGCTGCCGCCGCTGGTGCCCTCATCCTGATGAAGACTGGGGGCTCTGCAGGTGCCCAGGGCAGTGGCCTGACACAGGAGCTTGCCAGCCGGACTCCAGCAACCCCCGGAGGTCCCACACCCCCTTCTAGGGGCCATCGGGGAGGGGACTGCCCGGAGAACCTGAGCTGCAACTCTGCAGAACATCCCGCCTTTCTCTGTGTTACACACTGGACTTTAATGTGAGTTTTATTTGCTAAGAAGATTCTCTGACTAAAGTTCACTGGCCCGCTGGATACACTGATACTTTTTTTCTCCTACAAGATTCTGCAACATTATCCTCCAACTGATCTGCCTCACCCTGGCCACTCTGAGAATGGCTGTTGTAGAGCCGGAGCGCGCTGTTCCCGCCTCGTCAGGACCCAGGGGCCGGTCACCAGGAGGAGCCGAGGGTGTCACCTTAGCATGTTGCCAAGCACGGAGCTGTCCATCACGCTGCTCAGTACCCTCAAGGCCCAGGCCGGCGCTAGCTTTCTGCAGCACTGACAGCGATGGTGGTTTACAAGGATTTATCACCAATCTCTAAATGACAAGCAGAAAGGAAGTAAAAGATTCCCAACACAAAGAAATGCTAATGATTCAGGCTCAATCATTACCCATTACTCAGATGTATTGAATAATTGCACTGGACTCCGTAAATATGTACAATTATTATGTCAATTAAATTTTTAAAAAGTAAAAAGGGGGTGGGTGTATGGCCGAGTGGCTGAGGCCCCAGTTAAGATGCCCAAGTCCTGTATCAGAGTACCGGTGTGTACAGCCAGCTTTGGCCCTCTGTTCCAGCGTCCTGCTAACGCAGACCCTGGGAGCCAGGGGGAATGGCTCGAGGACGTGGGTCCCTATCATACTCATGGACACCTGGACGGAGTTCCCAGCTCCCAGCCTTAGCCTGACCCAGCTCCGGGTATTGTGGCCATTTGGAGGCTGAACCACTGGAGAGGAATTCGCTCTATTTCACTCTGTCTCTAAAAAAAAGGGTGGGGGAAGCTGGGCCGGGAGAACTTGACTTTCCTCATTCCCGAATTTCTTCCTACTGTCAAACAACAGAACCCATCTTGTTTTACTCTTTGCCTTGGCTACTAGGATGCCCACTGCTAAGGTAAAGTCTACCATGTGAGTGCAGGGGTTCAAGGACTTGGGTCATCTTCCACTGCTTTCCCAGGCCATAGCAGAGAGCTGGATCAGAAGTGGAGCAGCCGAGACTCGACTGGTGCCCATATGGGATGCTGGCACTGCGGGCAGCAGGTTTACCTGCTATCCCACAGTGCCAGCCCAGGAATCTCTCTTTTTAAAACGTGTATTTTTGGCCAGCGCCGCAGCTCACTAGGCTAATCCTCCACCTATGGCGCCAGCACACCGGGTTCTAGTCCCGGTTGAGGCACCAGATTCTGTCTTGGTTGCCCCTCTTCCAGTCCAGCTCTCTGCTGTGGTCCGGGAAGGCAGCGGAGGATGGCCCAAGTCCTTGGACCCTGCACCGTGTGGGAGACCAGGAGAAGCACCTGGCTCCTGGCTTCAGATCAGCACGGTGCACCAGCTACAGCACGCCGGCCACAGCGGCCATTGAGGGGTGAACCAATGGCAAAGGAAGACCTTTCTCTCTGTCTCTCTCTCTCTCACTATCCACTCTGCCTATCAAAATAAAATAAAATAAAATGTGTATTTTCCCCCATTATACAATACTCGTGTACTTTTTAAGAATTAAAAAATAGAGATAACTGCAATAAAGCAAAATAATTGCCCGCTGTGCTTCTAACCAACCTCCCAAATCAGAAACATGTTTGAAACCAGAACCTCATACAGTGCCTGGCACATAGAGGGACTTCGTGTGTCTTTGTTAAGTAGAATTGACTTGAATGCTGGGCTCTCTGGAGTGACAGGAAATCAATAAATGGATGTTTTTGAAAAGAGAGAGTAAGGGTCCGGCGCCTACCACATGGTGGGCCCTCAGAAAAATAATTAATGGACAAACGAATGAGTGAATGAATGGAGCTTTGAAATGAGGCAGCTCCAGCCTTGTCATCGGTTAGCTGTGTAATCCTGGGCAATGCGCTTGCCTTTCTGTGAGCCCCCTTCCTTCTCTGCAAATTGGTCTAATGAGCAAGGATGCTGACAGGTGCTCCTGGACGGGGAACGTGAGACATGGGCAGCCAAGGAGTGTGCCCAGCGTCTCCACGCTGGGGCATGGTGAGATCAGGGTGCGCACCTGCAGGCTCCCCAGGAGGATCCAATTAGATAAGGAACTGAAGCGTCTGGCTCAGGGAGTGTTTCTCTCTTCCCGTAAGCAGAAAGGTCTGGCAGCCTCAGCGACTTGGTGGGGAATCTGAGTACAGGCAGGGTCTCAGCTGGCGCGGGGACTAGGGTGGATTCCGAGGCAGCTGCGCCCGACTGTTAGTTGCTGGCGCTGCTATGTGGGAGGAGCTCTCCTTGTGGGTCCTCTGGGGACCACCCTTCCCAGGAGGCCATTTCTCAAGCAGCTGTCTCACCCCCAGGGAGCCTGATCCCTGCTGCGGCCAAGGAGAGAATCTGCTTTTCCATTGCACCATTTGGCCTAGGGGGTGGAGCCTGGGCTACCCTAACTGGCGTGTTTGTGCCAGGGAGACCCATGAGAAGCAGCACTTGGCACAGGAGGAACCAGCGCCGAGGGTGAGCTCCAACGGGTGAGCACAGGTTGACCTTGTTAAGTTCATTGTCGATGTTGCCATGGATTAGGGCTGGGGCCGGGGCGGGGAGGGGGGAGCTATACCTTCCCCCATATGACATTTCATCTAGCTAGCATCCCTTCAAGGTGGGTGTGAACACCCCAATTTTATAGATGAGGAAACGGAAGGAAGAAGAGAGAGGTAAGTACACAAGGAGCGAGTGACAGCACGGCAGGGTAGGACTTGGAGTTCGTGGCTCTAGAGCCTGTGTTCTTAGCCACTAGTCACATCTGCTGCTGGTTGGCAGACACAAGGCAGCTTGAAAAAGCAAAAAGGACTTACGGCTGGACTCTCCTCCTGCCTGGATGTGACTGAGCAAGGAGCCAGGGACCCGAGATTCCTTGGGGCTACTCTTTGCCCTGCCCATCAATACTTAAAGCACACATGGGTATTTCCCTCTGCTGGGGAGCTTGACACCCATCCCACCACTTGCTGAGTGTTCATTAGGGCTCTTTTGTATGTCGGGCCTTGTGCTAGGTGCAGCCACGATAATTACAGCGAACCCTTACTCTGCGCCGGGATCTGCTCTAAGTTCTATTTGTAGACGAGACCATTTACTCCTCACAACAGCCCCACAGGTATCTAATTATTGTTAGCTTTTCTTTATAGATGAAGAGACTAGGGCACAAAGAGGTTAAGTAACTAACCCAGGGCCCTGGTGCTGTTAAGTGTCAGAGCCAGGATTTGAACCCAGGCAGGCTGGGATCAGAGTTGTCACATTTATCTGCCCCACACTGCTTCAGCTCTCACAATTTCTGCAGTTCTCAAATTCAGAGTTTTTCCCAAAGGACATGTTAAAATAGCCCCAAGTGGTGCTACTCTTGTGGCACAGAAAGTTAAACCACCATTTTGGACACCAGCATCCTATGCTAGAGCACCTGTTGAAGTCCCAGCTGCTCACTTCAAATCCCCCTCCCTGCTAATGGCCTGGGAAAAGCAGCAGAAGATGGCCAAGTGTTTGGGCCCCTGCTACCCATGTGGAAGACCCTGGAACTTGGCTTGGGGCTGGCCTAACCTTGGCTGTTGCAGCCATTTGGGGAGTGAACCTGAGGACTGATGATCTCTCTCCCCACCCCTGCCTCCCTGCCTCTTTGATGCTCTTTCAAATAAATAAATCTTAAAAAAAACAACAATAACAATAATC